TAGCAGAGAAGAAAAACCTGCCCCGTCAGTCACTATCTTTTTGCCAAGATGCTGCCCTCTCCCCTTAATCATAGTTTTCATATCTGTACATTGAAAATTTGTTTCCCAAGGACAATGTCATAAACTTACTATTTTCCGAGATTTTTACCTGCCAGTGCTGCTCTCTTAAGTCCACTCCATTGGAGAGCTTGATGGAAACTGAAAATGAGGAGGCTGAAAGGTGAAAGATTTTGGGGGATGTATAGTCATCGTTCACTTTGAATATATAATCATTTATTGTGCACTAAGTTGTTGACTCTAAAACTCTGAAGTGTATCTTCAAATTGCAACAAAGAGCTGCAGGTGTGAAATGTAAAAGATGTAGTGATTTAGTTATGTTTTGTTTCCAGATCAGATTTTATGAAGAAAAATATAGAATAAATACCCTTTGGGAAGAGCCTGTTCTGCTCTGGTAGCACACCAAGGGTCCAATATATAAGTAAAAATATTTGCTGATAATTTTTTAACTTTTCTGCTCTGCTGCAACAGAACAGTAATTACCATCTGTGGGACTTTGTGCCAGATCTGAACTTGTCGTAACCCAGTTCAGAAAGTATGATTAATGATGTTCTTTTGAATCTAAAATGTGCTTTGTACAGACTCCTGAATTAAATATTTTTAAGTGTGTATATATGTTATCAGTCATGCCTGCTTTTAATTTTGGAGTTTCTGCTGAAGTTGTTTTGTAACTGGCATAAAATGTAAGAGAGAAACAAATAATTTGGACTTACCTTCCGATTAATTTGGAGTTCTGTGCCAAGGAGAAACAAAGGCAAGTTTGCACTTGGCAATTTGAATTACTTTGTTTCTAGAGTTGTCCAATTTTTGGAACAATGCAACTGCTTTAACTTACTGTTAGATTTTAGCTTTTGAAAACAAAACACATTTTTGTTAACTGGTGGATAGACCATGCATTGGTTTGTTCAGATAAACTCTGAATTATTATTTGTTCTCATACTTTCTTATTGTAATCATAAATTTTATGCCCACTTGGCATTAAGTTCAAATAAGAAATTGCATATTTGATATTTAACTCTCTTGTTAGTGTAAGTACAGATATGCAATAAAACCTGCTCATTTGTTCATGTCCAGCTTGGGATATTCTTAGATGATGAGTTTAATTTAGCGACACCACTTGCAAAGTTAGGACTAAAGAGTAACATGAAGCTTTTAGTGCAAAACTAAGCTGTACTTAATGGCTCACGGTAAACATTTAATGGACTCCACTCGATTTTACGTAGAGTGAGCTGCAAGGACAGGGAAGGAAAACTTTCAAAAGGAGGTTGTTAACTTTATTAACAGTCTGTATTTTAACAGCATCAAGGTTAGAGCTACAGAATTCATTGCTTTGACTGATTTGACTTAGAATATGCTGCAATAAACCAGCGGCTCAACTTTAATTTACTCTTTCTGCTTCCCTGGACAACACTCTGAGAATCAGAGTCCTGCTTACTTATTTAAACAAGTACTATTTTATGTTGTATTGCAGCAAAGTACATTTCTCTGGGGTGATTATGTTTTTGATACAACACGGTGTTATCTTTAACTTTTTAAACATACAATTGTTTGCTAATGAGATGGGAGCAAATTAACATATGCTTTGCTGTTTGATGTACAGTGTAGCAATACTTTGATAGTAATTGTGTTCACTCTTTGCATAAATTGGCCAGTATCTTGTGCCAAGTTCAAAAGAAACAGGGCTGAGTTTAGACAAACATTCTGGTATTTAAATAATGTGCCCCAATTTTCTTGCATGTTTGTTTTTCAGTGCAGATATTAATGAATTAACATTTTAAACAATCCATCTTATTTTTAACTCAATTAGATGTTAAAAGATCATTTTAACTAATATGCGCAGCATGTTCTCCTCACTTTGTGTGCTGCACAACAAAAGATTGATCACAAATAAGAGCAATGATCAAAAACATGATAATCAAATTGCAACAAAGAGCTTAAAATTGCAACTCTATTGCAGTACAATAGAACATGCGCTGCAAATTACCCCAGCAGTGTTTGTGTTTGTTTGCACCTAAACTTACTTGCCTATTTATATGCATGTGCTTGTTGTTGAGTAGATGATTATGATCCATACCATACGTGCTAAATTTTCTTTTTTTTTGGGGGGGGGGGCATTTATATTTCCAATAATGGGCATTCTTGACTTTAGTGAATAGAAGAATCAGACCAGCAGATACAAGAAAGCTGTTTCTCATTTAGATTAAATAGAAAATCTTCAAATAGCTTCACCACACAAACAAGGGGACATATTTCACCAGTTGAGGGTTGAAACAAAATTTAATAACCTAGTCCTAGTCCATTGTAACCAGGTGACTTGGAATCAATGTTATCCCTCCTGTTCAGTGGTCAAAGCATTGTTTTTTAATCTGCTTCTAGAATTTCCACAATTATATATTTGACCTTTCTGCTGTGTTCCTTGGTCTGTATGAAGTTGTTTGCCTACTCCTGTTCTCCAACATGTTATCCCAGAAACCCTGTTACCTTTAGTTAACATTCGGGAAAAACCTTGATAAATGAGGCTCCTGCTTGTAATGGATTTTAAAGCTATCATGAAAAAAGGTGCTGAAAAGAAATGCATTCACTGGCATCTAAACATAGGAGGAAATTGAGCAACTGTTGGCTCAAACTGTGTGAGTAAATATTTGGTTTTGCTGTTTCCTCACTAATTTGTATACTCTCTGTTACCTTTTATTTATTTATTTTTATTTTACCTCACAACCTAAAAATTGATTTGAGAAAAGAAAAAAAAAAGAAAAATTTAATCATACACTCTTTCACTGCTCAGTGTCTCAGTTTGATTTGGAAATAAAAATCTTTTCATCTTTATGTGATCTGTCCAGTAAGACATTTATAGAGAGAAGCAGTACATTTATTATATTCTGGATTGACTTTTAAAATTTTATGAAAGAGCTACATATGTATTACTCACTGTACATGAATAAAAAAAAACAAATCAGATTTTTTTTTATTCGCAGAAACACCCAAACACATTTCAGTTTCCTGAAAGCTTTTATTTGCTGCTCCAATTTATAGAAACAGCAACTGTTTTTTTCTAAGGCCAACCAATTTATCAATAGGTTTATTAAATAAGATCAATCTGAAACAGCATACACTAGCAAAAAAAAAAAAAAAAAAAAAAAAAACCTGGAAGGAACCTTCACCTTAAATGATTATACTCCCTACTTTCTATCATAGTGATTTTTTTGTGGTGGTCGGTTGGGTTGGATGATTAGTTGTATTTTTTTCCACTTTACTGCCTCAGTTGATGGCATAAAATGCAGCATTTATGCACAAATGAGACTGCAAGTGTGATATAAATGCACGTCACACTTAAGTTTTGAAAACCATGTATCATTTTCCTTTCACTTCACAGTTATGCACGATACTATGTGTAGGTCTGTCAGAATCAACAGCAAATAAAATACATCGAGGTTTGTGGTTACAAAGGAAGAAAATATGTAAAACTTCAGAGAGATTTAAAACTTTTTTTATATTCATTAACCAGCTGTCCTAACAGTTTACTAATCTCTCCATTGTGTTATTTTATTTCTTTATGAAACAATTTTCTCCTGCATTTCCAATTATCAAATAAAATTCAAATTTAAGAAAAGCCAGTATCAGATTTCATATAGTCTGCTGCATGTGTGAGACAAGTAGAACTGTCAGTTTCAAAACGATGTATGACTTGATGTATGTATGACTTGTTATTACGATAAACAGGGCAGTTCAATTCATGGGGGTGAGCCACAGCCCACTTCTCGTCGGTCAAGCAAGAGGTCGTCGCCAGCCTTTGTCATCTGGCCACTGAGGATGGGCCCCCAAATCATGTTGTCAATGTTGATGCGTCGAGATCTCCCTCTGGCAAAAATTGGATACTGTGAACTTGTTTTGATTGATGCTTTGACCACATTGTTCCCGGTCCTCGTGATGTGTCCTTACCCTCACTTTTACTGGCAAAGCAACACAAACACTTGGCAATGAAAGGGGAGAGATGTACTTTAAAAAGTTATTTTGTGCCTGTAGTAAGTTAGTTCATATTGACATTGTGTTCGTGTTGTCCAAGCATCTCGTGAGTCCATCAGCCTTAAAATTTCTAGGACTTTAACTGTCTTTTTTATATTTTCTCGGTCCATGTTTTGTGGCACAGTTCAATCAGTGCGCAGGGCTTGTTGTTCCCACTGTTTTCATTGAGGCTAAAGGATTACATTTTTGCCTGAAGGTGAATGCACAGCTTGTACATTCAATGAATGCCACAATGGATTTGAACGGAAAAAAATAATAATAATTTCATTGCGACCAAAAGTGCAGGCTTTTTTGTCTCCAAGGGCATGACATTCTTGGACCCTGGGTACTAGCCATGAGTTTTATGAACATGAAATATCTTTTTTTTGTCTGCTATTCTTTTCATTATGTTCCCCTTGCCTCTTTTCTTCTCTGCTTTCCTCCCAGTCTTGTCGGCTCCGAGTTGCTCTCTTTGTGTGTAACTGTTTGTGCCTTTGGATTTTTAATAGGTTAGTTCTGTCTAATTCCCAAATTTTGCTTTTTATTTAATCACATTTTGAAAGAATGTTTTTGATGCAGGTGATTAAGGCTATGGAGAATGTGTTTTTTTTTGTTGTTATGCATTTACAGTTAATAAAAACATAAAATGAAAACAAGCTCTTGAGCTTGTTTTTCTGAGTGAGTGTAGGTAGAACCTTGTATTTCACCCTTTAGTTGCTTTGTGTTGCCTGGGTATGAAACAAGTGCAAGCTGAGCTTTACAAAGATGGTCCAGTTTACAGAAATTCTTCATCATCTTTACAGCATTTCACCTTCCCTGTACTCATAAATCAACTTTGTACTTTTCTTTAATGCATTTAACAAAAAAGGATAAAAGAGAAAACAACAGTTACAACTTTGTCCTCTTCTTTCTCTCCTCTTTCTTTCTTTGTCTGTTTGCAGGGCCTGTTCATCTTTCTGATATATGGGGTGTACAACACAGAGGTAAGTCTGCATTGTGTCTCAAGGCTGTCGGAGTGAATGAGAGAAATGACAAGTTTCTGATGGGCTTCTTGCTTAAATGCTGTGTGGGTGGGGTGACAGACTGTGCGTGTGAGAATGCGTTTTGTGCGGGTGAGGGGAGGGGACATCGTTTCCACGCGAGCGTCCCACTGCCCTTCATGCTTGGACTAACTTATATGCATCCGAGTCCGACCATTTAACACTGACACGCTGCGCTTCTCAGCCACTCATTCCTCACCCACATTGGCTAATATTTCACTGCCTCTTTAAGTTTTTAAACTCACGGTCCTCCATTTAGCATCCTGACAAAGCTCCTGGCCAGGGCTTTGCATGGCCCAGTGCAGCTACCATTGCAGGATGGGGAAAAAAATAAAAAACAAAACAGCAACAATGCAAAAAAAAAACCTGTTTTCAATGAATAATTGAAAACAATAACAATATTGGGATATGATTACTATTTAAAGTGATTCTAGCAGTATTGCTTAAACTTTTTATAGCAAAGACCACATTTGTAAACAATACCAAAAATGTGCCACCTGCTGGCCATTATTAAAGCATAAGACCTGCTGTTTAATTATGCATCACCTTTAATGCTTAGAAATTAAAATTATTACCGGGCGAGGTTAATATTGGATCTGATGTCATTAAGAGATTAATGTAGTAACTTCAAAAGGTAAATAGGCAGCCAGGTGTACTTGTACATTGTGTTTTGTTTTCCCCCTAAATTTATAGTGGGTAGTCATGAAATACACTCCACAACATTTTTGTCTCCCTGTAAAGGAAAGATCAGTGTCTCTGGGTTCTAAACAGTGACCTAGGGGCCTTTGTGCTGCTCTCATAAGGTTATTCTACTGGCTCATTTTTATAATTCATTCATTTTGAATGTATAAACACATTTTTTAAGCCCGGGTGTTCATATTTTAGTTAAATTCTTTTTTTAACTAAAAAGTTATTTTGTGCCTGTAGTAAGTTAGATCTGTGGTTTGGGTGGACCCACTGTATTTCATTGCTTAAATTCAACACAACCAAATATATTTTACATTAAAACACAAAAAAGATGATTACTTCAATTACATCGATACAAAGAGCAAATATGGTTTATTGTCACCTTATAATTTTAAAATAAAACATTACAAGAAAAAATTTACTGCTCATTCATATTTGCACTATCACAAAAGCATATACCGTACATTAAAAAAGGATACAATTTATATTCCATATATAAGTAAAGATTTATGTTTATTTTTAGATTTACCTGTAAATCGCTATAATAACATATTTTATTTAAATCTTTTTTATTTTTTTGACCAGTTGCAGAGAAGATTCATAAGCACAAACATCCTTGTACTATACAGTCCAAGGACTGACATTTTTCATAATGTTAACCATTCCAAGTTCATTCGTAACCAAAGCCTTTACCAAAGCTTTATTCACATCATAACTCAAACCTAAAGTAGAGCTCGGTAGAATTTAAAAAAGATCAGAAAAATGTCCTCACTTTCCACAAATGACCTCCTTTTGTAGGTAGAAACTTTTATAATGGGAATACATAACAATACCCTAACCCTCCACACACAAACAACAAGCCTAGAAAGAAGCACAACCAGAAGACACAATTTTATCAGCTCTGGGTTTGGTGGGCCCGAACATCCAGAGTGCAATGGATGTTACATTGGGGGCAATGTATGGTGGGTGGTCGTCAATTTTCTTTTCCTGAACTATGTTTTTCATAGAAAGTGACCAGAGGCCAATGAGTCTCAGTTTGAAAAAGCCAATCTCCTTTATATGTTTTACTATAATAAAAAGAGAAAATGGTTTCTACAGACTGAAATAGAAAGGGTTCAAACACTTGTATGTAGAATTTCAAAGATGTAATTTATCATCAAAGTATAATTTAATTTTTGAAGGATAAAGGTGCTAACATATCATGTAAAGAAGCAGAATGCATTCAAATTTCCATTCAATACAATGAAAGGATGTCTAACAAGCACTTTTCTTGTCTGTGCCCTAAATGAAGCCCAGTTGACGAGTCTTCAGTTCTGATGAATCCAAAGGTCTTTTGTCTTTTGTTGTTGGAGATGAGGCATTTACAAGATAAATGGGCAAAATTACATGACCTCCCATTTTTCAGTTTTTATCTAACTTCCTCAGTACCTCCGTCCATCTGAACATCCAAAATTACATTGGTCTCACACAACATTTCAATTTCCTGTCTTTAGTTTGTATTTCCTCTTTCTTGCTTGTATTCATGTCTTCTTCAGAGCATGAAAAGGTGTCCCTGAGTCATAGCCAATCTATTGATAATACAGATGCTGGGAAGGTTGACCCTTTACAATGTAAAATAAATTAACATGCATTCCCGCTTAAGTAGCCTTTGTAATATGCAGAAATAATTTGCAGTCTCTGACTCTGTCTTTGACCCTGGAGTTTTTATGGTATTTGAACAGCTTATGTTCCAATTTAAAAGAGGAACCTCCTTTTCTGTTAAGAAGACTCACAGAAACCTCTTTGAATTACAGATCTGTATACATAATTTCTTCCAAAACTCCATCACCTTTTTCACCAAACAAAATATGTTTCTTTTGAAGAAACATTTTGTTTGGACTCACCCTGTTTGTCTCATGTTTTGGATGTTAGTCAGGTTTTCACAATCTGACATCCATCTTGTTCACAAAATTCTATAGATGATATTCAGAAACAATTTCTATCAGTATTCAAAATATTTCTTGCTTCTTGACTCCCAGTAAGACAATGAGCCAAGGATACAGTTATCTTTTTCTTTTATTTAAGCTAATATTTTTTAGACATAGGCCAGAGCTTTCAGTTAAATTCTTGGACACTTGAAGTCTTTCAATTGCATCTCTTGCTGAAGACCCTTCACAGTGGGTTGAGACCGCACGCCTAAATCAAAAATTAGACGTAAGATGGACAGTATTTGAAAGGTCTTGAGTCCTTCAGGAATGGAGTTGATCCTATATTATGAATGGTAGCAGCAGAAGCTGCTTTGGCTTCAACTAAAGGATCTCAACATGGAGCTTCATCCAAAATCGATTGATACTCTGCTATAGTCTGGTTTGCACATAAAAATTGGTGCATGATGTGCTCCCTACTTGAGTAGTGGTTATAGCTTGGGAATGGCAATGTACCTCCGGATGGCAGTGCTCTGTAACTGAATCTTTCATATTACTGAAAAGCCAATGACAGTGTTGATGTGGCTTCTTCCTTAACATGAAGGGTAAAACGGCATATACATATATATATGTATGTGTTGTTCTTCCACATACATGTGTAATAGAAATGTTCACAGATTAAAAGGTTAAAGTTAACAGATATGATATGTGATAGGTTGCATGGTCTTGAAACCACAAAGGAAAGGCCTATTTCATTGAAATTAAGAAGCAATTTCCTATACACTGACAACTATTTTTTTCAGTCTGAACGTAAAGTAAGAAACTAGTATTAGACAATTCTCGATTGTCTAATACAGTGTTGATGGGTGTCCTTATCAACAAAATTCCAGTGAATGGATAAGACTGTCTATTGGCACTCATGTTCATTCCAAGCTTGTCTCCAGCTTGAAATGAAAATAAAAAAGATGACGATAGATATGCTGACAGGTATCCAGAAAAGATTCCGATCACTCAATTTTTAACTTTACTTTGAAATATTTTCCTTTTTAAACTAATTAATGAGGAAATATGACTTTGATATGCAAAAGCTGGTGGTGAATTAACTTGTATCTTAAAGTTAGATTGTGGATTAACAAGCCTGGTTTTTCAGCTAAACAATAAAGTGTGGTATGAAGCATAAACTGGATCTGCTGCTATTATACTCAAAATGCAACGCTTAATTGCTAATTACCTGACAATAGCTTCCCATTATTCATTGCAATTAGCTTTTCCTTGGTGGTCACCTTGTAATCCCATGCTTTGATGACCCTTTATTTCCATCAACTCCAAGGATTTCAGCAGGTGTTGTTGGGTGCACTGCTTTTATATGGAAATTGCGTTGCAACCATTTACATGCTTTGCATCAGTTCTAAACCTTGAGTCTACTCAAACCCCCTTAAATACATTACAATAATCTAAAACAATGCCCTTCCCCTCATTGTCAAATGATTAATTAAGTTGTGTCACGTAATTGTCTCAGCATGCTGGCTGTTTTTGATATCAGTGAAATCCTGAAGTCGTAATTTCCCATTTAAATAATGTTATACAGTGTTGTTTTACTCGCATGTATACTGTGTCAAAGGCCTTGTTAAGATGTTGTCAGAAATAATAACACTGTTCACTTCTGATTCTGCTCTTCCTTCTATTTATAGAAGGTTCAGCAGTGTTTTATATGCAAAACGTCCATTGTTTACTCAAGCTGTCTCTGAAACATGTGTGTGATTGGTGCGGTGTCATAACTTATAATGCTTGGTGACATAATGAAGCCATAAGCCATAATACATATTCACTAATGTTGTGGGCTGGGCTGGGGCAGGCTGTAGAGATGAGTGCCCAGGCGCTACAAATTTCCAGTTTGTACTGATGGTGTGCATGAAAATGGCACAGGCACACACAGGCATGCGGAACTCATAATTATCTTCAAGGTTTTTATGGAAGTCTTTTGTTCAGGTCGTAGCTACACTATATCTGGTCAGGATATGCTATCTGCTAGAGTTGTTGCATTATATGTGATCTGCTGCAATGCTTTTGCAATAACTTTGAGCATGGGGTATAGAGATGTCAAATACTTTGTTATAGAAAACTCTTGCTAACAATCGTAAGAAAGACGGCAACAATAAAACAAAAATTCCTAAAGTTCCTAAAGTGAGACGAAGACAAACTCAGATGGGCAACAACATATGATATAAAATACCAAAGTTCCTTCTTAGAAACTAATTCAACCAGTGAAAAACCAAACCTGACTCAAAAGTTTTAAAGTATTTAGCAGGAAAACACAGTTACACTCTATTTTTTTTGACCTCACAAGATATTTACATAACTGCGGAGGAAGTTATTCCTCTTTTGGTTTTGTAAATGTTGAATAGATTTTCGAGTTTGGATTTACACGGTGATACAACGACACCCATTATTCATTTCAGTTATTGTATTTAAAGTTCAGGTCTTTGTTTGAGAATATGTAATCTTTTTCTAAATGTAATGGAAAATTAATGTCAAGCCACAACTATGCCAGTTCTAGAATTATATTGTTTTGAATTTAATTTTTTGTCCATGTTGATGACCAGCAACTTTTTTGTGTTTATTTTTTGGATCATGTCTGATGTCTTTGTTTGTTTGTACTTAACATGCTCCTGAATGCATTAAAGAAGGAAACTGACATTACTAATAATCACTTAATCGGTTGCAATTGTTAGGTAGCACCATGATTCTATTTATCTTTTCAATAGCTGTGTAAATAGTTTTGGTAAAATAAACCTTTTCCATGTGGTCTAAATTTTCACAAAAAGTTGTCCCAATAAAAATATGGTGCAGTTTATTATTTGAGGACTGATAATTTACTCTGTATACATGTGTTTGTGTATATGTGCTGTATAGTTTTTAACAGCAGTGACACTCTTTTGTGATGTTATATGTGTGTGTTAAATAAAGGTGTGCAAGTACACAGTTTCATCTCGAGTGTAAAAATGCAATCTGTTCTGCTAGGGCGGTCCCTTCTCCTCCAATAGCTCCATTTGTTGGCCCCTCCGCTCCATGTTGACAGATGATAGCTTGAAGTCGTCTCCTTAGTGTGCCAGCTCTATGTGTCACTTTCAAGTCCCATTAGCACTGGGACACACTGGAACACCCTCACATGCACATCTACACCGTGCCAGCTCCTCCATGATGTTGTCTGCAGATTAATTCTAAAAATATGCTATTATTCTTTTACTCTTTAGTATTCTTTCTTCTTTTATGTACTTCACGATGCCCATGGGAAAATTCAATTGAGGTTTTATTTATTAAGACATTGTTAACTGAGTTTAGATAAATAGTTACTACTTTTGTTTAATTCTCTTTCTTCCAGGTATGGAGTACTGTCAACAGGATCAAGGAGAGGAGAAGAGCTCTTAATTTGTCTGTAAGTCATTCTATGTTTTCAGTTGAAGGAGTGTTCATGCAGGTCCATATGCTTTTATGAATTCTGTTGATTATGTGTGTAACTAACTGTACTTTACTTCTCATGGGAGAAAAAAAGCAACTTATTCAGTGCCAATGAAAGCCAGCTTCAAAGCAGCTTCTAATAACCTTTTACTGGTCGACAGTCTATGTTAGATGCCCTTATACATCAAACATAGACCCTCCATAATAGCCCCCACACCCCTTCAGCCCTTCCTCCCTCTCCCAATTGCATCACCTTCATCCCAGCAATGTCAGGTTCTGCAGTGGGTTACAAGTTTCTAATCCTGGACAAGCCGTCCCCAGACATTAAAGTGTCAGAGCAGTATTTATACCTGCTTGGACTCTGCTGTTTAGCTGAAACTGTGGGATATTGCTAGTGTGTGTTTGTGTGTCTGTAGGCCTGTGCAAGAAGAAAGATTGTTGCCAACACAGCACCTTTTAAAAGTCTGACACATGCAAAGACACAACTCCTGCACTTAAAGGTGCAATTATGAACCTTAGCCCTTTACAAACACCCACTCATCACTCTAACCTCTTCTGCCAATGGTGCGTTGTGTGTATCCTCCATCTCATGTGCGCACACACTAACACCATGATTCTGGTTATGATGTTGTGTCACACTTAATCTCCAGAAATACTTTGTCCTGCTCCTCCCTCTGCACTCTGACCCACACATGTGCTTTAACCCTTCTCTTGAAGATTGAAAACTGAGCACGCTGTTATACCTTCCCTTTGACTCTTCTTTGCCAAAAAATGGACAAAGTGAAGATGGGAGGAAATACACAAATGGATAAGCTAAAATGTGCATGCGAATATGTCAGTGGGGAGGGGGTTTGCCACCAGGTGTAGTCTGATATATGTGCTTCTCCTGTTATCAGTGAGGGACCCCCATCTAGAGTCATTTTTACTGCGTCCTCTCCCCTCCCGTGGTGGCAATTTTCCAATCTTGCCAGGTTCCGCTACCAGAATGCATTTTTTTAAGCCATCGCTGCTGCCTGATAGTTTTTAGCTAATGCCGTTTTGTGCTATAAATCCTGCTCGAAATACTGTATCCCCCTGTCCTGTGGTTAGATAGGAGACATTTGGCTCTAGATGACCGCACATGCCCCTATATATCCTCTTGTTGTAAAACATAGGATTGGGTATTGTGCCTTTGAGGTGAGGCGCAAAGAGGATTTTTGATGCTGTTACAGCATACGGGGTCATTTGGAGACATATTGCTCCTGTCACAGATAAAGGGGTTTATATGGTTTATCATATGTCTGCGAAGATTTAATCCAAAGGGATAATTCACGTCAAATTAAATTGAAAAAACTGTATGGAACTCCTAATCTCCCTTTCATTTCTTAAACATTGACAATGAGTGTAGTCTAGAGAAAGTCAAACTCCCTTTGTGTAGAGATACAATAAAATGATCAGTTTCAATTGGGATTTACTTGGAAAAGATGAAACAGATGTGCGAGTAAATTCTTACTGTTTTGACAATACACAAAGTTGCAGTCATTTAAATGACAGATCAATTTCTTAACTTTCAAATGTTATTTTACTGCAATGAGACATGCGTAACCTTGACAATATCTTGAATAAATTCCATCAAACAGGAAATCTCCCCTCTTAAATCCCACACTACCGTCAACCTCTTTTGACCTCTTCCTTATTGTTGTTCTATATTCAGCTGTACAACTCATGCTGTCTTTTTTTAACCCCTGTGGTGTATGTTTATATATGTACTCACACATACATGGCCACTTTTAGCAGTGTCACTGGCCCATTTGATACCACATACCTCTTGACCTACCCTGACCTCCTTCATCCACACACAGCCGGATTGCTTTGTGAAATAAAACTGTCAATTGCCAAGTCCAAATAAAAAACACCCTCCATCCCCCTTCCCACTTCTTCACGCCCATGACACCCTTGAAATATAGATATAAATGAGAAAGGGATTAGTTTTTTTTTTTTTTTTTTTAAATCTTCTCTCAAGTTTTGATACGCCAGTTGGAATCTATCACGTTCGTGTTTTTACGGGTAGACAGTTAAAACTGGGTGCACATTGTTGTGGGGCTCATCTAATCAAAGTTAATATTCTGGTTTGGCATTTTGGTTAGAAAAGGTTTATTTAAACAATTATCTGTGCATTTATCTGTCTTCTTTTGATTGCAATTTTGACATATGCAATAAAGCTGTAAATTTACATTAGGAACCAACTGAATAACACACCATGAAAATTTCCCATTTAATGAAAGCATGTCTGAACATGTGTGGCACCCAACTCTATATTGGAGATTTTGCGTGTGTGCGTGAGTGTGTGCGTGAGAATGATGATCTTTTGGGTGACCTAGGACAAGGCAAAGCTTGTGCAAAACAAGACACTGTCCAATTCTAACTTGGACAAAAACTGCTCCTATTACATGTTGAAACAATTCAAAAATAAAAGAAAACATAACAAACAATTGTATTTAAGATTATTTTTAATGTTAGTGACTATGAAGACAAAAATACCCAAGACACAAACAATGGTACTGTATTGACTTTTGTGTGTAAATGTTGGCCTGTTTTTTATGGTAAGAAAAACACAAATTAAACAGACATTTAAAAAATAATAGTGGTCATGCAAATCAAAATGTTCATAATTTTTGTTTAAATAACTAATCATCTGCTAAGGAATCTGATCAAATGAGATTGCTTAACTTTGTCTTTTTTTTGTAGAACTGTGCCAGCTCCCGACCGTCCAGTTCTTTGACCACTTCCCGTCCTGTAAGTTACCCGCTTGGATCAACCCCCAGCCAGGAGGAAGAGACCTATCCGTGCAACAGCGCGTCTTCCAATAGGATGGAGGAAGAGAAGAGCAGGGGTGAGAATTCTGTTTTATTTCAATAGTTTTTATGACACCATTTTAACAAGCATAAGTAAAAACTGTTATGAAAGTACGATTTGAAATACAACGATTAACGTGTGTGATTAGAAACGTTAGATGAACACATTACACCACAGTTTGGTGAACAACCTGTTCTATGCAGAATCCTGGTTTTGTAGAATAAATGTCAATGTTTTAAAACTGTTTTGTGTAGCTTGACTTTTGAACTTTGTGTAAATAATTTTCAATTTAGCTGAAAAGTTTTGCTAGAAGAGGAAAAGGAAACTTGATTGCTATGGGTTAATCGCTATGCAATTAGTTGTATCTCCTTAGCCTAGTGGTTCTTAAACTTTTTTGAGGTACCGAACCCACCAGTTTCACATGCGCATTCACTGAACCCTTTTTTAGTAATAAATAAAATATAATTTCTTTTTTTTCCCAAATTCACTACATAGGTATATGCTTTTTTTTTACTGGTGCACAAAATGAGTCATGCATGAACATCACCTTGCTCAAAGAACAAAACCAACACAGTGCATGAATTCGCAACAAATTATGGTATTACTTCATTATGACCCCCCCAAAATATTTTTGGCCCCATAAAAGAATTCCAGCTCCCCAAAATATTTTTTTTTTGCTATTTTACTAATTTAAAATAAATTTGGATTATATTTTAAAGAATTTAACATTTTTTAAAAACTTTTTTTGTTTTTAAATTTAACTTGTTTTTTGTCATTTTGATTCCACAAAATACTTTTTTACTTTCCCCCATCTCCATGCAGCTTCAAGAAGTGTTCCCTTAGTTTTGCCAGTGTGAGATTAGAGTTGCTCAACTTGGCATTGCATATTATGCAGATGGGATGCTGACTCCCATCCCGTTCCGTGATACACACAAATCCATGTTGTATATGAATATACATCAGTTATATCAGAAATGATAAAGTGATAGAAAACCATAATGTGGTTTCTTCCTCAATAAGATTCTGACACTGGAAGCAGGTTACTGGTTTCTCAGTCAGAAGCTGGTTGCAAACCTGAGGTCAGCAGGTGTCAGTCAGTTATGGTAGATCTGAAATTTGGTTTGATGACGTTAATATGCAAAACTGCAGACTGATAGGAGGAACCAAAGAGCTCTGCAGAGGTAAAGGCAAACCTTCTGAATATGGGATATAATTAATTTAATTTCACATAATTATCATGGTAGAAGACATTTGTTTGTTAAAACTTAATCAGATATATTTGTCCTATTTGATGTTTGTTATGACACATTTACTGCAAATGAATGAGGTAATTAGTCCCAGTTTGTTGTTTATTGAACGTTCAGAAACTACAGCGGCTGTAATGAACCACAGCAAAGGTAAACAAAGGTGAAGCAACCCAAACAAGTAATTGACTCAAAACCACTCGCACCTTTTTACTCTCTGTCTTTATCATTTAAGCACACCCGTTGCCATGGCAACCAACTGCGCCCTGCAAGCTGACCAGAGATTACGTTGAAAACGTAACATTCAGTCCATTACAATATCAGGTTTCCAGGCTTGATATTTATTTCTTGATTATTAAAAAACCTCTCATGAACACAGCGGCTAATTTAAACTCCTGCTCTGCTAGTCAGTTGGTGTTTGAGTCAACTTTTATTTTGTTAATGGAACCGAAACGCACTGAATTGCGCAACATTTTGTTGAAACAATAATTACAGATTATTAATTTCAACACGCTTTGTTGATTTAAAAAAAAAAAAAAAAAATATATATATATATATATATATATATATTCTTTGATGAAGCTACAAACGTTTTGAATCTTGGTGAATATTTTGATAAGCCTGTCAGAAGAGGAAGTGCTGGTCTCAGCATCCTGGCAGCCTTCAGTTTGTCACCTACTGCCAATATCAACTCAAAACCTTCCTGCGATCGACGTATTGAACCCAAAATACAAAAACAGTGCATGAATAAAAGCAAATACTATACAACTTAAGCATGTACACCCCTCTATAGTATACAGGCCTTTGTTTGACCTCATCCAATTTTCAAATAGGTTTTTAGTGTATCACCCATCAAACAATACACTAAAAAAGAGCTGATACAAGTTTTGAGCATTCTTTTTTTCTCTTCATAGAACTTGTCACAACATTTCAAATGGTTTTACATCTGTGTTTGTTTGAGATTATCATCCCAATGGGTGGCTTCAAATTCATCCAACCTTCTTCTGTTGCACCAATGTCCTCAAATTGACTCTTCATAGAATATATATATATATATATTTAGTCACTATGAGAAGTAGTAATAGACTTACAGCCACATCCCTTTTCATTTTCTTCGAATTAGCAGAATTGCCTCCAGAATGTGTTGCAGGTTAAGGGTGCTGGCTGATTTTGGTATAAAACAGTTTAAAATTATGCCCCATGTCTGTTTCTTCATTGGTATTTCATCTAGACTTTGTAGAAAGACATTCTGAAATAGAAAATAGTGGCTGGCCTGTTGAGTGAAATCAGACATCAGAAGTACCCTATTCAACTTTAACACTAACCAGACTTCCTGGCTCTGGTTCGGTTCTCTGACCCATGCTGCGCTTGCCAGTGATGAACCCTGTTTCACTGTGGGAAAGATTGGAGGTACCAGTTTCAAAGAGGGCCAAAAAAGAGGGAGAGGTCGAGTCCTGCTTTCATTTTGTAACTTAAAACTAGTAACTTGGGGTTTTTGAGTTGATGAGGCAGCTGCAGAATTACATAATTTCTCTTTTTCTTGTTTCCTCTTTAAACTAAAAGCAGAAATACAAAGGATTTTAGTCTGCATTTTATTAAGACACTCCTAAGACAGCATACTGTGCTGTCATCTCAGCTTTTAAATTCTATCAAAAATTATAATTAATATCCCAAATCAAACTTTTAAGACAGGTTGTGGTGATACGTCATTTGGGAATAATATTATGACCACGTTCCAGCACATACAAAGGGTGTGTGGGGTGCTGCCCTTTCAGTTATGGAGGGAAAAAAAACAACTGAAAATTACATAATTGATAAAAAAAATAATCATCATATATGAATCAACTTATTAAAAAATGTATTATAAATGTCAGTTTTTCCTAACAGTGTGTGCCTAAATGCAATTGGAAGTATGTCTACATTTCCACACGAGGCTTGCCAAGAATTACTTTGTAACCAGCTGTCACTGCCACTGCAGTCAGCAAAATGAGCTGTAACACTACAGCTTAAAACGCTTTGTGTGTAATGAGTTACTGTGAAGATCATGTTTTAAATTCAATAAACTTTTTCAATAATATTCAAATGTATGATACTACATATATGTGGATATATTTTCAAAATGTTTTACCAACACTTTATTGCACCATCTGATGGTGGAAAGCTGCAACTAAATATCAATTTGCAGAGTGGCTCTTTAAATCTGTGGAAACTATGTAGTTAATAGTTTATGGCTTGTACAATAAAATTCACATTTGTAAAGTGCATGGGCTGCATGTTGTCGGCCCTTATTGCTCCTCCGAATACCTCTCAGTCTGATTTACAACATTTCCTTTGCGAGTGATTTGCATGCTCCACCACATTATTACTCTCTTTCACTCACTCACAGCAAAGTTATTAAATCAGTCCCTATGGCACATTTACATGCTGAATCATCAGCGCAACCAGACACATCCAACTGAGCAGCAAACATAATGTTTCTGATAGAACACAAATGGAGAAATAATCACTTGTCAGATGATATTATTTAGTCCATTTGCTGCTCCTCTGGTTTGCCTCTACCTCGCCGCTGCAACATGCAGATGTAATCGGCTTTATGTGATTAAGTGCTGGGACTGTAGAAGTGCTCACTCAGTGCCATGCAGTTATATTACGCAGAAGACAAATTTGCACAGTCAGTACCCTGCGACTAATCATCATGTCACGTCAATTCCTTTCTAAGCACTCTGGTGTATTTTTAACTGCACAAGTTAGTGTAGTTGTCGACTTTTGTAATATATCTTTTACATAATGCTGTGTTGTTTTGAGGAGGCAAGAGTTTTATTATGTTCTCACACTTTTTTCCAATTCAGATAAATTAAATATGATATTCACTAAATGACCCATGCAAGAAAATAAGTATGATAAAAATAATTAAATTAAAGATTTACGTTCTAAGTTTCAACTAAAGGTGATTTTATTTTATTTTTTTTATTTTTCAAAATATTATTTTGTCAAACATGTATTTGATAATATTTACAGTGAAAACCAAATCTTTAACATGCTGTAAAATAACAATAAAATAAGACAAACCTTTTTTTTTCTTGAAGACAAGGAAAATCAATACAGTTGACAAAAATACAGGAAGGTACAAGCTACAAGAAGCATCTTCTTACAATCCCAACTGTACAAAGTAGGCAGCATGTAGTTATATTGACATGTTTTTGCATTAGGGACCTGCACACTTAAAAGCAAAAAAGACATGAGGAAAGGACATTATGTGCAAGCGTTAATGTCTGGAAGCATCAGCCAGGAAGTTACAGCTTGGGCAAACCAGGGTCTTTCAAAAGCACAGTGAAAATATAAACATTCTGTCAGATTAAGATAAAAGGGCTAACAATGTGCAACAAGGTCAATGTTTTGGAGTGACACTCACAAAATCCTGTCCTATATCCCATGGAAAATTTGTGGGCAGAGCTAAACATTATGAGGAGTAGAGTTTAGATTTTATTATCCCAGAGAGTACATTCTTTTCCACAGACCAGCTCCTGTACTCCCATCATCAAGTAGGTAACCAACAATCAGGTAGACAATAACATACAATAAAAGACAAAATGCAACACCATCACATAAGATACAATATAAAATGATTTCCTCAACAGATTTTGATTTCCCAAAATATGCTTTTTATAAGTCTGTGAACATCACAAAGTTTGACCCACTCCATACAATTTCAAAGGGAATGCTGCCAGGTACTAAGACAGAGATTGTAAACTTCTGAATTTAAAGAAAGGAAAAAAGTTTGTCCTTTAATGAA